CTCAATGGCTTGACGGTCTCCTGATTCATCTCTTCGGATGTCAGTCAGGTTCACACTCTCAGGTGTCCCACCCGTGCCGTGGCCTTCTGGGCACTCCTCTGGCACAGTCTCCGCTATGACTCTTGGCAACACCTTTGTCCCGCACAAGTCATTCCCCAGGATCACTTGGACTCCTGGAACAGGTATGTTGGGGCATACTCCCAACATCACCTCTGCCGACACATATTCCGACCTTAGCTGGACAGCACATACGGTCATGTCACTCTCAGACAATAACCCGTATACTTTCATTTTACTCCTGCCAGCTAACCGTCGATCATTCCCAATCAGGCTGCTCGTAATCAAGCTCTGATTAGCTCCGGTATCTCTTAAAATACCAACTTTTACTTCAGGTTGGCCTCCTATACTGATCCAACCTTCACTAATGAACGGCCTATACCTCTCGTTCACTAAGTTCCCCTTCTGTGGTTTGTCTTGGAACACATTAGTATATTTACTTCTGGGGTCACACATGGCCAGGGTCACAACTCTTTTGTCCTGCCTACAATCTCGCATCATGTGACCCAATCCGTTACAATTGTAACACCTCACCTGGGAAAAGTCTCTTCTATATGTACCAGAGCGGCTCTGACTTTGTCCACTTACATGAGAGTTCCTCGGGCCAGGCACACTACCTGCACTCTGTGGGGCTTTACTGGACTGTTGATTTCCTGGATCACGATTAGTTTCTCGTTTAGCTCCTCCATCCTCACTTTCAGACGAAGTGCGCGACCTACTCTTCTGAGTTTTAGGGTCCTCACGTTTATCTGCCCATTTATCAAAATTCTTCTCACCCCAGACTCCTCTGGGTTTTTCATAATTTCTTCCTCCCCATACACCACTGGATCTGCCATTGCTGCGTCTCGCCTCGCTTTTCACTCTGTTCTCCCTCAGGCTCTTGTATGCTTCCATAATCATATCCGCTCTATCTGCGGCATCTTTCACCTCCTTTACCCCTGCTCCTTGGATCTTGAACTTTGTTTCGGGACGCATCATTTCTAAGAACTTTTCCATGACCATCAATTGCTTTAGGTCAGCATATGATTCAACTCCGGCAGCCTCAATCCATTTCTGTAATCGTCTTTCCAGATCCCTTGCTGTCTCAGCAAAAGTACATGCTCCAACCTTCATCTTTCTGAAACGCTTCCTATAAGCTTCTGGGGTTAGCTGAAATGAGCGCAGTATGCTGCTCTTTACTGTGGGATAATCCTGGCACTCTTCCAGTGACAATTGGGTGTATGCCTCCCTGGCTGCACCGGTCAATCTTAACTGGACCAGCTGAGCCCATTTCTCCTGTGGTCACTCCTTGATGCTGGCTACCTTTTCAAAGTGCTCAAAAAAGCTCTCTGCCTCTTCGGGAACAAACAAGGGAATGTCCTTCTCCCTAACCCTAACATCTGGTGAGTGTGATACCTGGGTGGTGCTCTCTGGCAACCCATGTTCAATCCTTTGCTCAGCCAAGGTTCTATTCGCTTCTATCTGCATTTGTTTTGTTCTCTCTTTTTCTTTTTCGACCTGGGCTTTTTCCTTTTCGACCTGGGCTTTTTCCTTTTCGACCTGGGCTTTTTCTTTGTCTACCTCTAGTCTGGTTTTCTCTTTTTCTGTTTTCAGTCTGGTTTTCTACTTTTTCCTTCTCGGCTTCATTTTTCATCTGGAGTTCCAATTTCATCTTTTCCAACTGGAACTGTCTCTCCTCACGCTGCATCTGGAGCTCTAACCGGAACCTTTCCAGACTCCTGTTCCTGCTACTGCGGCTACTCTTACTGCTCCTACTCGATCCCTGGGATCTCACTTCAACCTGCCCATCATCCTCCTTTCCACTTTCAGCTTCTTTCTGGGCTCCTTGTTCTGCCGCTTCACTTTTGGCTCTCAACTGCCTCAGGATCTCATCGTTCATCCCAGCTACTTTAGATGCTTTCAACCTAATGCCACATTTTTCTGCTATTTCAGTTAATTGATCCCTCGTGCAACCTTCCAGGACCTCGGCCTTGCCTGACTCAACAAACGCTTGCACCTTATCCATCTTGTCCTGTGAGTCTTCCCAAGAGCGAGAATATACACCTGCGGTCACACAGTTTATCTATTTCAACAAGGGGTGCACAAACCCACTCTTGGACAGGGTGTGGGTGTGTCAGTTCACTCTCCCGAACAGGCCCCCACGTTATTATATTGTGGGTTGGGTGTTGTGTCGTTGATCCTTCTTTCTGGACAACTCAACCCACAACTCGGTAGAGTGCTTATACTTTTACCAGGAGATCACACTTGGCGGTTCTGGCTCTTGGAGAGGGGCTCAACGTCACACGTTTAGAGGATGCGGTTCCAACACTTTGTTTTTTTTTTGTTTTTTGTTTTTTTGAGATATATACAAGAGTTGTTACATTCTTGTACAGCCACTAGTACGCGTAGCGTTTCGGGCAAGTCCTTAATCCTATGGTCCCTGGAATACGATCCCCTGCCGCGAAGAATCGTTTTTTCATCCAAGTACACATTTTACTGTTGCGTTAAACAGAGGCTACAGTTAAGGAATTGCGCCCAGTAAATCCTCCCCGGCCAGGATACGAACCCATGACATAGCGCTCGCGGAACGCCAGGCGAGTGTCTTACCACTACACCACGGAGACTTATGTTGTCACGTGCACACACCCACTTGAGCTGCTGTGACTCCCCACTCTCTCCTTATGTGATATGATCTCCTCAATCCCCTTTGACCTACTATTATTACCTTCTACCATGTCCACAGCAGTGGTTCTTGGTTCTTTCTCTCTCTCTCCTTCTTTTCTACTTCCTGGGAAGCCTCACTAGGACAAGGGCAAACATCAGCAAACTTGAATACATTTACTGGACAAAGCACATACACAATACATACACACATATAGTAATAATGAATCCTACACTATATACTATTTCAGTCAGGTTGCACTCCAACACCATCAGAACTCTATCATCTGCTTATCAAGTGGTATCCTATCTCCTGATTCACCACCTAATACTACCAACCTCCTCAAGTAGGTCAATTCTTATAACACAATTTTGCACTATCAGCAAGAGAATATATATATATATATAAACATGTGCAAGGAAAACAGCGTATGACTGCAATAACATATATATCAGTATAAATTTTCCTCGATATACAACAATGATTAATCGATCACCCTATCAATCCTGGAACACATATGTCTGTTGGTACAGACTCCTTGACACAAAAATGGCAAACAATCACTCACCTTTCACTGCGTCTTGCACACTAATGACAACCAAATACTCTACCAAATCCCTACAAGTAATCAACCAGAACTTCCCTTCCACATCTGGAAGTTCATTACCCTGATATCTTCAGGTTCTTCCAGGTTTATCTACCAGGATCCTCCGCAGCTCTTCCAGGCTGCTACACCATGAAGTCTTCCTTGAGCAATTATGGTGCTCCACCACTTCTACTAGGGTCCTCCACAGCTCTCCTGGTTGCTACACCATGAAGTTTTCCTTGATCAACAATGATGCTTCACCATTGGCATCACAGAAGCAAGTGAAACTTCATTCCACTACTCCTCTTCTCACAGCTTGAGATCCTCTTCCTCCCTGAATGGCTGCTCTCCCACAGAGCTCAGTACTTTCCACTACCTTGGAGTCTCATCAACTACTCCGTCTGTGCTGGCTTCGAAGTTCTCAGGAACTTCTTCCCTAAAGACAAACCTGCAACCCATTGACACGCCAATAAAAATGCTTCCTTATAAACACATAGACGAAATAATCCACACAATATGTTTGCATCCAACATCTATCTGCTCTCTACATGCAGTGAGAGTGGACTCCCCCGTTTGGGCTGGTCCATGCTCCGCCTTGCCCAGAGGGTGGCTCCTCAACTCTGGGAGGGTCCTCCGCTGCCAGTCAGTTGGGTTCAGGCGGTCGATGGGAGAGGACGTGCTGCTCGTCCCTCCAGCTTCCTCTCTCATCTCCGTCCTCTTATTTAGGCTTCCTGCCTTACCAAAACATGTCTAACTTATCAATAAACATTCGCTACTATCGCTGGGCACATGACCAACTACAAGTAATCACTATAAACTGGCTTAAAATCGTGCTTACCACAGATTGTCTAGTCGAGGGCGCTCTTCCCCCTGACTGAGTCTGATCAGGACACTCCCACGGCCCACGATAATGTCTCTGGACGACTTAATAAACTCTCCTCGCCGTCCAGGACTTCAGACCACAACGTTCCCAGCTCGATTCCACAGCTGGAACGTCTACACACTTCCCTTCTCTTGGAGATATATCACTAGGGGTCCCTCTCTAACAGGAGCTCACACGGAGCGCAGCTTCCCCTCGCGATGTCTGGTACTCAAGTGACTTAAGCTCCTCTCTAAGCGAGCCTCACTCCTCTAGCAAATTATTCACATCTCATAACCAGTCACTTATCTAATTTCTTATTCACTGCCCATAATCTCAAACTGTTTATCAAATCCAACTAACTATTTTACATCTGTATCTTCACCTCTATATTTCCTGGACCGTCTAGTCAGGTCAGGCTTGATAGAATATTTCTCAAAGGGGAGACTCGTTTTTTGGCTACCTGGGATCATAACACTGTCCATGCCATTGGCCAAGCTTCTAGAACACCCAGTTGTGATTAAATCCATTGGGCATAGGCTTGGAATAGGCGGAGTTAAATTGGGCCTAGGAACTAAGTGAGGGCAGCCTGTCCCACTGGTAAGCGTTTTTAGAAAAGATGAGTTAGTGTGTCTTGGAGTGTACTGGGGCCCAGATATCCTGATCTGGGGGGCAGCCACTCAACATCGTGGCCGAGGTTGCAGGATTAAGGTAATGTCTGTCAGAGCTTTGAGCTTTGCACCTCAAAATGATCCCATTGCCTCTTAGGATGTGTTAGGACATTTCAAATTTGATTTTTATTTATGTGCTTTATTTAATAAAAAAATTATTTGTTCCAGTGGTATTCAGTTAATTCCCCTTTTTAATATATTTTTCTACTTGGTCATTTTTATATGTGGTTGAGGGTTGACTTGGAAAGTTCCTGTGTTCTCCTCCATCTTATGAATATTAAAGTTGCTCTTGAATCCCCCTTCAGTTCAGTAAGATTACAGTATTAATCCATTAAGATTTATTTACTTGCCCCTTTGAGTTCCATGATTATTGAGTCCCTTCCTTCCTGGGGAAACAATAATTTAGACACATTCATTTATGGTTGGGAAGGTGGTGGCAGTGTTTTAATGATTTTAATTATTAGTTATAAATTCATAACCCCTGTTCTTGTTGTGTCCTCCTTGTTTAATATTCAGCTTATATTCGTGGCAGTCCAGTGAGGGGTCACACTGGACTGTAACAGTGTTAAGCTGGGGTATTGAGTGAAGTAGGGAAAGGGTTATTACTACAAGGGTAGCATTAGAACTATTACATTACCTTGTCCATCATACTTTCATTCTAATAATAGAACGTTTGTAATGTTAGTATTGATGGAAACACAACTAAAGCCTTTTTCTGGTCAGAATTAGTCGAGAACTTGTCCGCTGGAGACCTGGTTCCATACAGGGAACCCTCACTAACACCAATTAAGTTTTAGTGCTTTGAGTAAGTTTTATGGAGCTTAGCGTCTGAGAGAGTACACAGACCATCCACAACACTTGACTCGGGGCAGGCAAGAAGCAACACAGAACATACACAGTAACATCACACAGAGAGCATAGAATAACAAGAAACACAGAATAACAATAATACAGATAACAGGGCACACACAGCAATATAACATAAAAGTGAAAACAAATAACAATAAAAATACATGGGAACATACAAAAAACAAAAGCTACACAACCCTGACGGGGCGTGCCAAAGGTGTCAGTAACGAAAAAAGTGCACAGAGAAACACATTGAAACCAAAGGTAAAAACAAAACAAGAAATACATATATACAACTTAAAACATACGCAAAACACACGCACCATGTGTCACATCACTCAACAACAGACATCATACCATAAAACAAGAACACAGAACACACACACGGCACACAGCACAGTCAAAGAAAATTACACAAGGGGGCGTTATTGGGGATGATTAAAAGTTGTTCTAGTGCAATCAAAATTTATTGATGTTTTACATGTGAAAAGGGCTGCACCTGGTCCAAGTTTCAGCATCGCAGCCTAAATACAGAGGGAGAAAAAAAACATATTTTAGACAATTTTTCAAATTTTTCCACCATTGCATAACAAACACAATTGTCAACCGAAATCATTTCTATGACACTCAGCTATCACATTACTGTATAATAGAGGTTTTTTAGGAATATTTCTATCCCAAATGTATTTAGTGCAATAATACAAATTTTCAAAGTTCCCCCCAAAAATATGCAATAACATAATGTTTATAAATATTTATAAAATCAATAAATGGACTTAGGAAAATAAAAATACACAATTGTGTAGAGGGATAAACTCTACATATAATGTGCAAGTTTCATGTAAATTGAATAATAAATGAAAAAGTAATTCAACCATGTAGTTGCTAATTACTTACCTGTAGAAAATAAAGGTCAAAGTTCAACCACCTGTGGCTGAGGTTGATGTCGACCAATTTCATTCAAAATTTGCATCCTTGTAGATAGGCATGCCTTCAGTAAGGTGTGTAAGTTCCATGAAGATCGCCTGATAACAAAATAAAAAAAAATAAAAAAAAATAAAAAAAAAAATCAAGCAGTCAAGCAGTTATATATTTACCATTATTTATGATGTAATATCAAAATATAACACTAAAACATACTAACCTAAAATAATTGGTCTGAAATATGGGTCCTCAAGGTGGCACTGCAATGGCACTAGTAGGCACCTGCCCCATAGCCAGGGTCAGCTTCCTCAGGGGCCTTTCTTGGCTTGGTGGTGCGTCTCGTTGGATTCTGCATCTTCTTGTCCTTCATGTTGAAGTACCGGTCCCGAATGTCACTCTGTGGTAGACCAAGGAGGTTCGTCAGAGATCCCATCATATACCCAGCGTTGTAGTTGACAGCTGTCATTGCCATGGCGAAGTCTACCATTACACGACTAACATATTTGTCTTTGGGGGCGAGTTTCCAAACTCGGTGGTGTAGAGACTCGTTTGGATTCTGAGTCTTCCCCTTCAGGCACTTGGTCATGTTGTCCTCCGATACAAGATTGTTGTATATCTTCAAGACTTCAGTCATGTGAATACTGGGTAGCTGGAAATGTACTTTCATCGTCTTGTGTGATCGTGGGGTCATTCCATTTGTAATGTCTTGCTGGTAGAAACACCAAGAGTCTTTGCCTTTAGGGCAGTGCATGTGCATTGGCTTTTCATCCGTCGACGTTGCATGGAACAGTCCAGACAGGCAGGCATCCCTCATTTGTTTCCAGTCCGAGTTGATGTTATCCCTGATGGCTTTTGTAAAGTAACTTGCCAACTTCAGAATGGTGCTGTCAGTTAATTTTCCCTTCCCATTGACCAGTGACATTCGTCTGGTCTTTTTGACAGGCTCTTTTGTCTCCTTCCATTCGACAGCTGTTTTCTGAAAGTTACAAAGCTGTGTTGCAAGTCTCTTGCTGAAGTGATTTATGCACTCAGCCTTATCCACTCTTACGTCTGCATATGGTCCATCACCATTATTCATTGCACAAATTTTATTGAAGGCTGAAGAATCACCATCACCGACCAAGGTCGTATACCTGAGTTTTTTGTCTAGAGATCGACCCCACATCAATACCGCGGCATCCGGTTCCATATTTTTGGCAGTTCCATTGTAGTTCTTGTCACAATCCGGTAAATGTTTACCCATTTCAGTGTCAAACTCAGCCTGTGTTATTTTTCCATTTTGTTTTCTATGCTTGAACGCAGAACACTTGGTGAAGTTTTTGCAGAAAGTATTGTGGTCCACAACCAGCCCTGTGAATATTTCCACAACAAAAGCAGTGCCAATTTGTGAATGATGGCCCCTTGTATGCCAAGATCCATCAAAGGACACATCAATGTCTAGGACGCCATCAATGGGGTGTCTATCCAAATGATTTTTGTAATGACTGAATATGATACTGCGAGTGTTTTCTTGCAAATGCACCCATCTCTCATTAGCAGCATCTCTTATCTTCTTCTGGATCTCGTTATATGGTTTATGTGATACAAATTTTATGTTATTTATAGAACACATGCTTTGGTAATATGTATATCCGTTGCCATTTAGCATGTTGCTGTACACTAAGGATATTAGATTTTCATGATTTCCATTCAATGCTTCAGTATGTTTACAATAACAATAACTACAGGTTTTTGTCACTTGCACATCATGTTGCACAATTTTAATTTTATGACGTGTCGTAGCCTTTGAGCAGTACTTGAATATACAATTGTCATCTAGGTAATTTTCAAGCCTCTTATCTGTCACCATTAGCACTGACTCACGTGGATTTATTCGACATTTCCCTTCACTGTCACTGTCACTGCCACTGTCATTATCATTTTTTCCTTCTTTTCCTTCTCGAAATAACTTCACTCGTTTTTTGGCACTGCTCTGGGTACATTTATGCTTTGTGGAAATGTTGGGAGTTGCTGAAACATCATGTGAGGTGCTGGGCCCTTCAACATCAAGAGTGGTGTGTTCAACATCTGGAGCTGTAAATGCAACATCAATACCATTATGTCCAACATCTGGAGCTATAAATGCAACATCAAGACCATTATGTGCAACATCTGGAGCTGTAAATGCAACATCAAGAGCGGTGTGTGCATCACCCGGAGCGGTTGGTGGTGTGGGGCAGGGTGGGAGAGTGTGTAGTGAGGTAGCGGCCGCCGCCACACGCCTCACAGAGAGGCCACCTCTATCTTCACTCGTCAGAATCCTGCTTTGCAGCAAAGCGGCTGCAGCTGCTTTCCGTTGCAGCTTTACAAGGTTAGCGTGTGTGCCTCTGGCGCTTAGAGCTTTCTTTCTGTTCGACACGCGTGGCATTGTGCAGTAGATGCGACAAAAAATGCGATATTCGAGCGAGACCACGTGGACAATAGCTCCACCAGCAGGGAGATACAATGTGTGACTGACTCAGCTGAACCCTCCCCCTCCTCTCACTCGAGGCTGTTGCCAATGAGTGAGTTTATAATTTGTTTATGCATAACAAGCTATTTTCCATGCTATTACAACATAATAGACGTTTATAACGTACGACACAACACCCTACAGCGCACCCAAGCCACGACGACCGGATTGGGGGACAGTTGCGGCTGGGAAAATTACTCTAATTAAGTTATTTTTTATCATAACATAAAATGGTTTGCACCACGGTGTTGCCAGAACCTTGTAGTATTTTTAGAAATCTTTCAGACATATTCGATTTTTGTCGAATTTGTTCGGAATAACGCCCCCACAAACAAAAACAACAGGTCACAAAGGCCAAATGAAGATACATCTGAACAGGCCCACGCAGGAGCCAGAAACAAACATCCACACCACACACTCGCACACATAAAAACACGCACCCATGCACGCAGACACTGGGAAACAAAATCCCACACAGACACGCAAGAAGACGCACCAACCAAAACAAAGACAAACAAACAAACAAAACCCAAACACACGAACTACTCATATTTATCCGGGTACTCCCGCTCCCGAAAATGTAAGCAGTAAGCCTCCCAAACCAATAGCTCGTCATCAGAGATCAGACGACCAGGAGCCGCACAAGGCTGAGGCATTAAATTCGGTACCCCAGTGACAAAACCCCCTATCACCCACAGAACCCAAATGGAAGAAGACTTCCATGGAAATTTCAATTCCTTTTAAGGGTCTGATTTTGGTGTGATCGGTTAAGGTGTACCAGTTATGTCAACCTCCTCGTCCACCACCTCGTCACGAACACCACCACCTCGTCACGAGCACCACCACCACTCGTATCCACCGGCCCACCAGCCGAGGAACCCGGTCCACCACCGGGTCAGCAGGCAGTGTGGAAACCTCCCCACCCACTCCATCACAAGACGACAGGTCCTGCACCACCAATGGAGGGAAATCTTCTTCTCTAAATAAGTTCACAGGAGCAGCCGCCACTCCAGTACAAGCGGCTGCCTGGTAAAGGCAACCACCAAAAAACATGCTCCTGGCTGCCCTGCGTGGAACGCCCGCATATTGTAGCCCATCAAGGTAACTATGGAGGGAACAGGTGACTTGAGCCATAGGGCGAGAGTCTGGGTTCCACACGAGACACACCACGCCACCTGCCGAAAGAGATGGAGTTCATCCGGATGGAAACTATAGTCCCAAACTGGCTAAAGTACCATCAAAGCATGGCCTCTGTGAACTCGAACGGCACACAATGCAGTACCACATATGTCACCGAGCAGCATTGATCAGAGATAGCGACGGTACCACCATCCCCAGGGAGAGTAAATGAGCGCCCATCATAACAGGCCACAAAGTCCTTATAAACAGCAGTGGAGTGAAACTTCACAAGTGCCCGATGGGTAGTTAACAGTTGGAGCCCATACACATCGACAACACAAACATGTAGCATATCCAACAGGACAATCTTAAGGGCAAGGTATGATACACGTCCAGAAAATTCCAGACCCACGATCTCAGAGCAGCAGAGCCATCATGCCAGTGAATGGCCGTAAAGTTCAGCTGGTCGATGCATAATGAACTTCTCTCAGTATTTGCTGGCAACCTATTCCATCAGCTTAAGTGACTGAAAGTTCATCAACCAACCTGTTATAATTACTGTTAGTTCCATTTGTTATTTTATGTTTGCCATGTATATTTCGTGTTCGAAACAGCAGAAAAATGCAGTTAAAATATATAAAATTAAATGCATTTTCAGGATCGAGCAATGTTACTCCAGCTTTGGGGATCTTATGACATTGGTCATTTTCTCGAGCAGTAGAGCAATAATTTCTGACCAGTAAAGCAATAATTACTAATAGGTGCACTTCACCTATTACCTTTATATTTTCCTTTAGTTATTGTTTCCTCAGAATATATTTTAAAATATTTCATTGTATTCAGTCCCTTCTTACCTTCCTCAGCAGCGACAGTGTTCGAGGGAGGGGGTGTGGGGCACTGGGGGTTGTTTTGACTTATTGCTAACAGCTCTGTCCACGAGGGTTACATGGGAGGTTGGACCCTCCAACCATACAACTATTTGTATAATTCATTGATTCATGTAATGCATAACTTGATCTTGTATTAATATTAGACAGCTTATCATTCTCCTGGTAATATATAGTGCTGGGGTCTAAGCTCGCGAGCTTTCTTAAACCGAAGTGTGCTTCTTACTACCACAAAGTCTTCATGATGTTGGTTTCCTCAGTTGTTGCACCGCCTCAACGCTACTTTTTTTTTTCCTTTATTTATAAAACACATAAATACAATATAAAAACAGTTACCAAAGCACTCTTACACAGTGAGTTGGATAGCACACACATGGAACATAAGAAAATTGAAACAATCAACACAAAATAGGTGATTAAACTACCCATCCCTCAGCACTGAAGGAAAATTACAGTACTGACAAATAAAGGCGTATGATGTGGAACATAAATGAACACAACACAAGGGGAAAGCATATATCCATCCACTTAACCATGTACAAAATCCAGAAAACATTAGTAACACTGTACCTAATGAAATCATTTCCCAAAACGCCCCACTAAACAACACACCTAAGGCATACAGACCAAAAGGCCGGACACATAATACAAAAACAAAGACCAATTACAAAAAATGCATAAAAGAAAAGCAATATACAAAAACGACAGTAATAAATTAACAATGTAAAACAGCGTAAACGAATACAAAGCAAATTACTCAGTTTTAAAGCACACAGTTCAGTTACAACACGCAACAGCCTACACAAACATATATATATACACAAACATATATATATACATACACATATAGTTTTGTTTTCCTTTTCCATATAAAGTCATTAAATAAATATACATTCAAACCCTAGCAAACACAGAGCCATCTCACACCACCCAAACCTAGGACACGAATAGTATAAAGGTAACAGAAGAAATGCACAAATGAGAAAGTACCCACTTCAAGAAAACAGAACACATGTTATGTCAAAGGCCACATATGTACTATGGCAGGGCATAATAAAAAGGACCCAAGAATCCAAAATGAAACACACATTACACTCCGAACCCGGAGAAAGCATGAATAAAACCAGTAGATAAAACTAGTTAACTATATAACAAAGTCCCCCTCAACCGGAAACAATGTAACAGGGGGTCACAGCACCCCTTAAAATACACATATACACATTAGTACCTGTACCACCCAGAAACTGGGAAAACAGGGAAGTACATCATAGGGACAGGTCATGTCATATAATCCAGGAAACCATACCTCAAACAAACTCATACACACCCAAACTGTCTCAAATCATAGCACCACAAACATCCGTATGGTACCCCAGCCACAATACCATCATAGTGCTATGCAGTGACACACACAGTGCCGTCCCACAAACCCATCACAAGAAGAAAGGAAGACACACGGACAACAGGTCATGTCGCTCGCAAACCCAGCACACACACACACTCGCACACTCGCACAAATGGAGATTAATCCCACAGCTAAACATTACACATTGACAGCATGCCAACAACCAAAGTCAAAACAAAACGGAACCCAGAACACTAACAGCCGCCACCGGAAGAGTAGAGTACAAACGTACAAACACCTCAGGAGGAGGAAAAAAAAAACCAGAGGCCCAACAAAACCAGAACGACCCACACAAAGCAGGAAAAAACTAAATTGATAACCCAGCAACGTCCCTGAACCCCAGGAAACCCTAGACACATGGCAACCGACCTACGGAGCCCAGAGTCCAACAAACCCACAAAACGAAAGCAAACTACAATCCCAGTACCCCCCCCAAGAAAAAAAAGACACGTCATAATGCGCATAAGTATCAGTAAAATGGTCCCCCAACCCTTCCCCAATCAACCAACGTAATTCCCATTTCGAGTAACGTAACCGACATTCCAAAAAACCCAACATTCTATCCACTGTATACCCCTCCCGCCTCCCAACCCACACACAATAAAGATAATCCGATAGAACCAAAAGCACAGTATTGCGGACCCTCCTATAAGGAGCCTGAACATCAAACATCAATAAGCGTAAAGGGGAAATGCGGTACACTGACCCGCAAAAACGCATAAGCGTCCTATTCAACCAATCCACCAACCTCGACCGGCCTGGGCAAAAATAAAACACATGAAACGCAGTCTCCAGCCCCCCACAAAGGTCACACCCAGCACTATCCTTAATCCCCAACCTCAGTAGCCGCTCATTAGTCGCAAGCGACTCGTGTAAATATCGGTACAGGAATTCCCTCTGCGACGGAGCTAGAAACTTCAAATGGAGCGTTTGCCAC